GCTCATCATCTGAGTCCGACTTGGAGGCAGAAAAAGCCCTGGGACGAGTCCACATGGGCATATCACATCCCAGCCAGGCAGATCAGATTCTGAGCCCGCACTGGAAGCCAGACCAGAGTTAACCAATCACGTCCACACGAAAGTCAGGCACTGGGTCGGAGTACCCACGGGCCAGTGGCTGAAGAGGCCGAAACCCAGAATGGATGTGTTTGCGGATGTCCTGCTGGAGCAGGAGCATGGGACCTATATCGTCCCGACCATAAAGGTGAACAGAGGACTTGAATCCTGCGGAGGGACTCAGACAGATTCAGCTGTCTGGCCCAGGACAACAACTCCTAGAAGTGCATAAGCAGCGGGCAGGGGCAGAGAGGACACCGAAGACCAGTGCTCCTGCAACAGAGAGCGAATCCACGGTATCGCATCCGGCCTGCGCATAGGACTCTGGGCGCAGAGGCTGAACCTGACAGCGGGGTCTGCACGACGTGACTGGCGCAGAATCTGAGAAAGCGCCGACCAAAATGACAGGCCCCAGCACGCAGACGAAGACCCAGTAAGGCCAAGCAGCAGGGCACCCCAGTACATACCCGTCTTGGACGTCTTAGTTCTGGACGATATCCCAACCAGCCCTGTTCCAGCTGTACCTGAATGGAGGATGGGGCCACCCACAGGGCATCCGCCCAACGCAGGGAACCCCATATGGCGCAGAGCAGGCAACCGGCAGCATACTTATCAGCCAGAGACGAATCAGCCGACATGACCCGGCGTTCCAGCCAGCAGACAAAGCTGAGTGAAAAGGGTAAGGCTTCACGCCGTGGCTGAGGGTTGGATGCATGCAGGAACGCTTTAGCAACTGCAGTGTTAAGTGCTTGCTGCAGCGCCGGAAGGCCAGCAACACGGGACATCCAGGACAGAGCTTTCCAAGGGCCAGAAGCAAGGCCCTGGCGACTGGAATTTTGCAGTAACCAGTCAGGCAGGATGCCCGAAGCAGGCGCCGAAGGAGTAGACGACGAGCAGGTAGACCACTGTTTCCAGACAGCCAGATAGCGCTGCAAAGTGGATGGTGCACACCGTTGCACGGCCCTAGCCAGCTGCAGGTCAGTGATGCATAACACAAACTGCTGGCCCTAGCGACAGCGGCGGTAAGAAGTCCAACAGGCCTGTGCGCAGGCCAGGGCGCGGCAGAAGCAGAAGGTTCCTTTACAGGCAGCGGGAGCGAAACGGCCGGAAGAGCCTTGCCAGCAAAAGGCAGCACCAGCACTGGAGGCGGCAGCGGGGCAGCAAGCCAAGCGCCATGCGTGGCCGGACGCGGGAGAGCAGGGCCAGGCAAGGGGCATGCAACAACCACTGGCGCCAAACATGCAGGCCGGGAAAGCACAGCCGGGCCCAATCCAGGAACCCTCGGCCAGCAGCAGGCAACCCACACGAAACCAGGGAGCTAGCAGAATGGGGCCCCTTAGTCCACACCCTTCTTAGACATTTCAGGGGAAGGCAGTACAACAGTCACGAGACAGTGCCAGCCTCAGACGCAGACCTAGAAGACGCCGAAGGCGAGGCAGACCGGCGCATTGAAGAAGGGCGTTGCTCCTGCACAAGGCAAATGTAGCAAACTCGCAAGGTCAACCCCCACAAGGAAGCCTACAACAGCAGTTGCAGCGAGCAACCTTTTTCAGGCCCGAGTAGGCAGGCAGATCACGCGCTCAGCAGGCAGACGTTGCCTGGTGAGGCAAAGCAGTATAAAAATACAAAGGGAGGCCCTGACCCCACAAGCCAGGCTACAAATCTGCAGGCACCAGTAGTCAGAAGGCGAAAAACAGACCCGATAAAGGGAAATAATAATACCCTAAGGTAAACAGCAGGCAGACTTACTGGCGCCTAGCAGCGGCAGCAGAAGAGGCCTCAGACTTCTGGGCCTTATGCTTGCGGGCGCTGCCGTCAGAAATGCAGTGGCTGCAGTAGTGATCTGCATGTCCATGCTCGCGCAGGCAGACAGGGCGAAGGCACAGATTAAGGCACTTGCTGTCCTTAACGTCTATGCCTTCAGCATAAATGGGGCACTTGTATGTACAGAAGCCGCGCAACTTCAAGTGTTGCAACGGCTCAGGTACAGTCTGCGCAGGCAGCCAGGCAGGCAAATCACAAGGCTCCAGAAGAAACATTTCTTCATAGGGGAGGGTTGGTGCGGAGTGACACAGGCGTCACCCACCCTTCTAACCAGCACCAGGGGCCGTTCCTTGACAAACAGCGCCTATGACCACAGAGGCATCAGTCCTGTTGGCTGGTCCTTGACAGTCGGCAGAACCAGACTGTCCTCCTCCTCCTTGGACCAGCGCCCTGCTCTGGCCACCGCCAGTGACCTCCATCAGCTCTGGCGCAGCATCGCGGGCCACATCAGATGCTTTGCTGGCCGCAGGGTCCGCGGCAGAAGGCGGTGACTGCGCAGGCAGACCAGAGAGGGAGGGGGCGCAGCATCATTTGCAGACAGTGCAGAGGTGTCATGCCC